ACTACCACTACCACTACCACTACCACTACCACTACCACTACCACTACTACTACCACTACCAACAAGAAGGAATTATCGAATGCCTGAAGCCGCATTTGTTTCGATCGCAACGCTGAGGTTATGCGACCTGGTCCGCGCGCATGAGGGTGGGGCAGTGCTCTTGCAGGGTCAAAGACCCGAAGATGGAAAGGGAGAGGCAAAAAGGGGATCTAAGTGCGTTTTCATAGCTGTGATGGATGGGGGTAGTGCCCATGGCATTCCGATGGGCTTCGGATTGCTACCCATGGTGTTTCGAGCATTTCCCTGCCGTCGTCCCACTGGAAACCGTGGCAGAGAGTTGTTTGACGAGGAACCCCGCCAGCTGATTGGAGACCTGATTGGAGGAGGGCGTGTCTGAAAGTAGTGACCGTTTGTGGGCCTACAAGGTTTGGAAGCTTTGAAGCTTCCGAAGAGGAAATGCATCTACATTGGAAGAGGGGTTGCAATTGTTAAGTTTACACTTATTTAAATTATCTCTTCATCCTTGGCTGATGCGACTCATATTTCTTGTGTTGGACATTGCAAGCAGTCTACAGCCAGCCAAAGTCACACTATGCCACAGCAAGGAACAATTGCTTGGTAAAGATTGCAATGAGAATCCTGACCTTTGTAACACTACGTGCAAAAGACATGGAAATTCAAGTTCTGCTGATACCTGCAAATCACCTAGAATGCTTCGCGCGGCAAGCTCACTCATGCGACAAATGAGGTGATGTCGCGTATCCAACTCATCACTTTGGAAGCCCACCCCTGCTCATGCTCGGTTACTCACCGTGGTTTGCTGTCCCTTGAAGCGATGGTTTCTTTGCAAAACTGCGGCGACAACATGTGACTTGCGTCATGGCACGCTTGGAGCAGGTGCCAGGGCGAGGGAGAGCGCAATGGCTGCTGCTGCAGTTGATGGACAAGGCTTTTCTACTTGTATCTGAAACTATAGGCTTAGCTGGCCAACAGCAAATCCCACTTCTCATAGTGTGTCATGAACAGGAGATGCACAATTGTTCACATTTATTTTTGTGGAGTCAACAATATAGAGTATTTGCAGGGAATAGACATCTTGTCCATCAACTGCCAGTCTGCCTGGTCTTACAAAAGTGTAATATGCCGACTTTTGAAGCCTCTGGTAAGGTCTTTATCCTGCTCATCTTCCAAACTTAGGACCTTCGCGCGCGCACTCGTCACCTGGTTTTCCTCCAGGTGGTGCCAGAGGAGGAGAAACGCCTAGCACGATGGAACCTGAAGCGTGCCACCGGGGCTGAACGTCGGGGTAGTCGAGGGAGGTGCTCGCATGTGGTTTTACAATGTTTTACATAGGAATACCTTTTAAAATTCGATTTCCAAGTCTATTGGCTGACGAGCAGGTGTTGGCGGCTTCCTTGCCAATGTTGGCATATGCGGTTCACCAGTATCATCCAATATCCCTTTGGCTGGTCAAGTATGTCCAAATGAGAGAGTATACAAAAAAAACATACAAGAATCTGGAAGCGTGCCCAATCCCCTGTAAAACGATAAGGAAGAAATGAAAAACACGATAACCCCCGATGACTCTTGTGGAAAACCCTTACATGCGAGAAGTGGTGTGAAGAAAACGCGTGCGTGCACACAAACAGAAAACCTACTGCGATAAGGAAGAAACAACGATAACGTCAAAAGTGGTATAGGGACAGGTAGAGGGTTTTTTACACAACCTCAAATGAACTCACTGAACTGCAGACATGGATAGTCTGAGAAATGCTTTGACTGCAGCCTTTTTGGACCCCACAATGATTGGCTGAAATTCTTCAAGACCTACAAATCAGTAGCATCGAACAACATGCTTTTGCAGAACTGCTTGAAGCTGGATGTCACTTGCAGCTCACCTTCCCACTTGCAGCCTTTCAGCTGTTTCTCCTTTATCGCGGTACCAAGGCCATGCATGACAGGCGCATCGCGGACATCGAGAAGGCCCTCATCGCCGGCGAGGAGCGGGTGCTCCTCCGTCCGGAGCGACGACGTGGATGACGTGGGTAACTCGACCCTTGAGAGGCCCTCAAGAGGGATCCACGTCCGGTGAGTTCGGGTCGGTTTTGGGAAGAGTTGGCGCCAGAGAGATTTCTAGTAAGAGGTTTTGCTCGTTGCAGCGTGGAAGCAAAATCATGTGTTGGGTCTTGCTCGGAAGTCTAGATTTGCTCTTCAAGGGGGTGGTGCTTTGCTTCCATGTTTCTTGTTTGAGGGAAGATCTTCAAGCCAGGAGGTTTCCAATTTCAGACAGACGGGTCTAAGATAGTGCCCCGCCTTGTGTTTTCTCCTAAAGACTTTGGACCGGTGTGAAACAATTGAAGTCGAAGTCCCCCCCCAAGCCTTTTGGACTTCGAAGAACAACATCCGGTGAGGGTTTTGAGTCATGAACCCGTCGAATGCCGAACATCTCTTCGGATTGACCGATGCAACGATGCACCTTTTCGGAGAAATCACTGGGCGGGTCAGACGCCCCGGTCCAACAGTGATTTCGGAGCAGTTTTCAACAGCTATGTTCACATGTCAGGTGTTTGGGGTGTTTCCCTCAAGTGTTGTTTCTTCTTCCTGTTCTTTTTTCCAATGGCTCCTTCCAAACATGTTTCAAATCCTTCCAGACTACTTGACTACCTCACATTCAGTACGACTTGCCTCGACTTTTCTTGACTTCCCCCCACTTGGCCCCTGGACCGACCTAACGCCTGTTGTGAAGGAGTGTCATTTGTACCCCATGGAGCTGGAACATGCTCGGCACACCTTGCTGGAAGCCCGGAAGGTGAGGCTTCTGAGTTGGGAACTCCAAGCGTCACAGCTGACATGAGAAGATGAAACACAACTCTGATTTCTTGGGCTAAACCATAGCAAGTGGCCCTCATGCCAAGAACTGTAGCGCTCAACTTTGAGTGAGCCATAGGTTAGTAGCAGCAGGCATGGGGTTGATGGTCCCAACAAACAGCTGCCGGCTCATCGACTTGTCCTGTTCCCAAGGGTCCTTTTGGGGTCTTCACACAAACATACGTCTCGGCCCCTTTTCATAGCTTGATGGGCCTTCGTCTGACACAGATGATGGATGTACATGGATCGATGTACAACATTAGACCAATATTCGACGACACCCGCATGTTGCAAATTCATTGCAAATTCATGTGGCCTCCGTCTTCGACAGGACGATTGCTTTGTATACAGCCCTTTTTCATTCTCAAAATACATCTCCTCCACACCTCTAGTGGCAGCACCTTACACCCTGAACCCTGTTGGCTCAGCCAGGCGGATGCTTTGTACCGGCTGGAAAAGACCTTGTCAGACCCTCAAAGCCGAGTAGAGTCGCAAGTAGGCGAGTGGTCGTTAATAATGTGTGGGGAAATGTCCGGAAAGATGTCGCAATGGATGGTTGTGCGATGTCGTGGATCAAATCGCATTGAACAACTCAACCTCAGGCAAGCAGTCATGTTCATGTTCTAGATGTCACCCTACAACTCCAACTTCATCCACCCTTCTGTCACGACGACTAGCTGAATTTGACCAGGCGGCTTTCGGTGGCTTCAGGCCTCAGGCTCCAGGCTTTCGGTCCTCTGACTCATCGGTCGAGGTCGGACGGCGAGATCGCCGCCATCCGGGCGGCCATCGATAAGGCCGCCGAGGCCGGCGTCAGCCGGGGCGGCCCAGTGGCCAGCAGCACCCAGCCGTGTGCCGTGGGGGCTGGACATGGGTTGTTCATGGCCCATGGGATTCCTTGCTTGGAGGGTTCTGAAGGAAGCGCAGGGGCCCCAGGGTGGTGGTGACATGTGGTGAATAAAGCCATGTTTCATGACGTTTCATGTTTCACGTCGTATTTTTATTGTTTATTGAAACAAGTTCGACACAGAGACCTCAGTTTTGCGGTGTCGGTGTTTTACTTCAGTAGCGGCTGGGCTTCAGTTTCAGGTCACACGCTACCAAGCCCCTGCCTACGGATTTGGTGTTAAACGTCTTTCTCAAGGTCTTCACTGGCACAGACACTTCGGATGCGCTCCAGTTCCTGCCATTGCGGTGAACACGCCACTCACCTGATAGGTTAACAAAGTAATGGGATGTTGCTGTTTTTTTTTGCATGCGTACAATGGAAGTGTTTCCAAATGTTTCCAAGCACATGCTGTGCGTACAATGGAAGTGTTTCCAAATGTTTCCAAGCACATGCTGGAGGTGTTCAGGCCATACTTGTGTAGTGCATTTTTCATGACCTTCTTCGGCCTCCTCACCCTGCATCCATCAAGAAGCCCCCCCCAAGTGGCACATCAAAATTGTCCAACTGGCAGCCGGCAAAAAAGAACAAAAGCATGCTTGGAGCATCACCCACCTCCCTCAACCAAATCCCGGCCTTGCTCAAAAGAATGCAGTATATAATCCAATACAATACAGTATACAGCATTGCTCAAAAGAATACAGTATTTATAATGATTTATATGTATTTATTTTACTTTTCGCTCCAATCCCATGGTCTTCAGCCGATCCAGCAGCTGCCGATCCCACGTGACCACCGCGTCCGTCGCACGTGCACCTACTGCGACTCTCAGATGCGTCGAAGCTTCAAAGTGCCGCCTGGTGGCCCGGTCGTGTGCGAGCAGCGACCCATGCGATGAGGTGGAACATGGTGGAACCATGTTTATATCACCCCATGCCACCAATGTGAAGGGGATCCTTCAACAAATAGCTTTAAAGTGGGAGTTGAATGGTGATGCTTCTTCATCTTGGGTCAACTTGTTGTTCAAAGATGGCCCGTTACTGGGCGCCCGTTATTAGTATGAGTTTTCTTCGCTTCTATTGTTTGGGCTGCTGTTTTTTTTCAGAATCTCAGGGTCGTATCGACCGAGCTTTTGATCTCTTTTGATCGACCGAGCCGCCAGGAGAAGGTCTTGGAAGACGTGAAGAAGCAGGAAGATGCCAGGATGCTGCTGCACGAGGCGAGTTCGCGCCTCGTTCGCGGCGAGGCTCGGACGAGGGACTGCGGAACATCAACATCTGGGACTGCAAGGGACGAAGCTACTGGAGCCTGGTCGAAGGTGCCGAAGAACGCACGGTGTGCATGGTCTCCCATGGGGTGATTGAAGGTGAAAGCTGGAGGAGAAACAATGCATATAGTTTCAAACGACACCAAGGGTTGTAGGGCAATTTCAGTGTTGACCACCGACCACAGGAGAACCATCTCGAGATGTGGTGGTGGTTGTTTCATCATCAGTTTGACTGAGGGGTCAATATGAACCTATACTTGGAAATTGGCTGAAAGCTTTTGTGAGTCCCCTGGTGATTTCATGGAACACGTCAACATGCTGAGGATATCCAATCACCAAACAGAAGTTCCCTAGACTCGAGTTAGTTGTTCTGTTATTCAAGTTAATATTCTTACACGAACAATGACAAGGAGGCAAGTTGCCCTACTGGAACTGACAGCCAGCTTGTATACGCAGTCGCGCGGTTCGGGCACCGTGGAAACACGGTGTGCTGTTTGCTCCTCCCGAAGAAGCTGGGAACGTTCGGAGCCCTAAAGAGCTCGCCAGGCCGGTCGGACTGCTAACATTGCACAACTTCGTCAGGCGCCAGGGCAGAAAGCTGGTAGGATTCCTGGTGGAGGCGGAATCGTGTTCCAAAACTCTTAGAGGAGGGTTATAGTTATAATATACATGCTTAGACTAAGTACGGACCATGTTTTGCTGCTAAACTCTACTCGTAGTCTCAAGACTTCAACCCCTCTGGATGTTCGATCTCGTGAATTTGCAATCACAGGTGGGGACAATGCGATGCGAGGTTCTTGGATGTCCTGCCCAATCTTATCATCCTGTCGGACTTGTTCTAAAAACATCTGGAGATGTGAAGAGATCCGGCCGAGCGTTCCACAGGTTTTTGATGGTTTTCGTCCTTCTTTTATCGTTGAAAGCGCCAGCGACATCGGGCTACACACGAGCTTTTCTCAGCAGCGGTGTTTTGGTCGGTTTTCTCAGCATCGGGGCGACACCAGGCCTTAGAGGATTCCGTGAGCTTGGGTCTGGAAGAACACGAGCGGCGAGCTGAGGTCTTGGATATTCTTGGATGTCTTTTGTTCCCATTCAAAAGGGCTGCCGACCACGACGCGTGGTGACCACGACCACGACCACGCGTCGCGTGACGTGCGTTGGCTCCGATTCGTTGGCTCTGGCAGCTGAGGCTGCATCACTTGAGGCGAGGACTGGGACTCCGGTCGAAGCGCCGCGAGTCCATCCGATGGCCGAAGACGGGCGTAGACACGCGAGGAGCCGGGATGTAGGTACATGTAGCGGGTAGCGAGCTCAGAGGCATAGCTGGTATCCTTTAAAGACGTCTTTTGGTGCAGGCTCGTTCCGTTGGTCTTCCCTTTTTCCAGATCTGAGTTCACTTCTGGTAACCTCTCCGGAGACCCAAAAGCCCTCAAGAGAAAGTTCGCCTGCTCGGCCCCCAATCCCTCGCCGAAAAACCATCGAAAAATCACATGGATAAGAGCAGATGAACTGTTGACAGGTCCCAAACAATATATTGGCCCAACAGGTCCCAAAGGTGTGAAGATGTGTGAAGCGAATTTTTCAACACGAACTCAGAGAGCTGCAGCATGCCCCAGCCCTTTGTCGTTCCTCCACAAATCTATCACAATTAAGTAATCCATCAGAAAAGAAGAACACCGCCTTCTGAATGACATGTTGGGGGGACACCTATTGAGATTCCATTTTAATACTGTAGTTTCCTTTTTGCACCCCTTCGTCAGACATATTCAGATCTCTTAATATAGTGCTTTTCTTGTGTTTTTGACCCCCGTCTTGTTCTCTCGAAACCGGCGTGTCCCCCGATACGGGCCCAACCGCTTTGCCCGATACGGGCGCATGATCGTGCCGCATGCATCACCCAAGAGTGCCTTGGGGCTACAGTTTCAGTGGGGATGTTTGGGGTGTAGATGTCCAAAAGGGCCGTAATATCTTGAAATCTCTTCCCATCTCTTCAACGGCTTCCGCTTACTTTGCCAGCTCTGGAAGCGAGAAGAAGATATGGATATTGTGTGTGCATTTCTTGGAAAATACATCGTGATTCAACATATCCTCGGTCCTTGGTTTGGATGGTTTCTCTGTATTCTCTGATGTGGTCAACTTGATTGCAGTAAGAACCCCTTCAAGAGCTGAAGAGACCTGAAGTTCTGAAGAACCCTTGACACTTCTTTATGCTTGTCCACATGTCAGATGTTTGAAAGGACGCCACTTTCCGGAGTATCATCCACATCCAATCATCTTGAACGTTGATTGCTACGCCAGACCCGCCACGTTGAATCTCGACCCCCTTTTTGAAGCCCGTGAGAATTACTGTAGCAATATTTGAAGATATTTGAAGTGGTTTTCATGCTGGACCCTGCTTGACAGGATAGGACAAGCATTGCTTTGGATCATTTCGTTTTGATTCAAGGACTTGGTGAGGTGTCAGTGTATTCCGGCCAAGGGCAGGAGTGACCCAGATGCTGGTAAACAGCCAGTCGCGGAAAAGAACACTGCATTGTATCAGATTAGTGGGGCTGAGCCAGAAGCAAAACAGGAGTGGATGTGGTGCATAGGTAGGAGGACCCGTTCGTAAGGGGATGGTGATACAAAGACCATCCATATCTATCCATCATCCCAAGATTCTCTTCACAGCGTAGCAGTTATGGCCGTCCTGTTGGGAAGTAGCGTCCTTAGTCCCAGTAGCGATGCCAGGAGCCCCGTTGGTCGCTTCTTGTGACGTTCGTAGTAAGGCCAGGGGAGCCCCTAATAGCGTCCTCGCATCGCTAGTGCAAAGCGTCAGTTTTCGGAGGACGACCGAAATCCGACTCTTCACTCCCCAGGCGTCGACTGAGCCGTTTGGAACGAAAGGCGGCGGGGACGACTCGGACGCGACGACTCGGATGCGGGACAGGATGTGGCCATGACATGGGATGGGGGAGAAGGAGGTGAAAGGGTGTGAAGTTTAATGATTAATGATTTAATGTGCTTTATGTTTGATTGTTAAGTTATTTGTCTGCAAAGCTGGCAAGAATCAGCTCCGGAGATCTTGGACACTGATCTGCTTGGAACCAGACCTGCTGGCAGGTCGAAGCGCAGGAGAAGCTCCAGGCTGCCATTGCAGGTGAGAAGCCAAGAGCAGACAATCCCAAGACACCATTTCTTCCTTGGCCTCACCGAATTGCCACACAGCTCATCACAAGTTTTTGATTGTAACTCTCCAAGTGTTGCTATGTGTTCAGCAAGAATCGGTTTTTGAGCATTCAATAGCAGCAGCAGGGCATTGAGGCGACCGACAGATTGCAGTGTCTCAAATGCAATTAGGTAACAACTTGACAATCAACAAATAAGATTGACAAGGCTGTATGTGTTCAGACATTCTGCATCTGATGTTTGAAGCAAGCTTTGTTGGTGATATTTCCAGGTTGGGGAAAGTGGAGGTTGGCGACCACAATCAGACTGACTCCTCACCGTTTCCAGGGTTTGTTTGCGTGAAGATGAAAACAATCTATTGCCTTTGGTTGCCATGGAGTGAATGAGAGGACATGACCCACACATGTAATTGCCCTCCCTCAGACACTCATAGGAAGGAGGCCGCCGGCCCCAGTTTGTAGAGGGAAATGTTCTTCCAAACCCTATATACTTCCACTTCCATGATTGTTGCAGGGAGTGTCTATAATCAAAGAAAGACTCATCACTCTTCTCCCAGCCTCGCCAGGCCACTCGATCTCTGCTTTGACCGAAAGCATCGCCCTAGCATCGACCACAGGCTGGGCCGGAAAGCCGAGCATGTCCAAGCGGGTTCGTGCGTTTGCCACATCAACACCCAGGGCCCAGCTGAATTCATGTAGACTCTTGATTAATGAAGCCTCCACACGGAGATGTAAACACATTCTGGTCGGGGAGTTCTATTAATCCCTACCAGAATGGTTTTACAATGTTTTACATCCTCATATGGGTGGTTTCATTGATCATAAGTCTACATTAACACCCGCTAGCCCTGGCACCCTTCCATGGCACAGCCTCAAATTTGCACACCTCGGCCATGGGGAAAGTCCGCCGAGGGCTGCCAGCGGCCGAGTTGGATAAAGCACGGAAGGCGTTGAAAGATGAGCAGCAGAAGGCACTGGACGGGGTGGCATGACATGAGCAGCAGAAGGTGCCTGGTTGGTTCTATCTTTGATCTAATACCCCCAAACATGCCGGCGATGTTTTTTTGCCTCTCCTACCATCCTCCGAATGTCCACCATCAGTTCCGGGGTGCATTCCGTCTCTAAGTGAGTGGACTGGCACCTCAAAATCCCTTGTTTGCACGGTTTGGTGCTGCGGTTTCGACCCACTCACCTTCTCCCGCCACAGCACAGCCGCAGGCGGCTGCACGAGTGATCCTGAAAGATGCGCGGCTGGGAAAGAAGGCGGATTCTGTGAGTGAGAAACGAGCGGAGCAGGAGAATGGAAAGAGGGTCACTGAGTTTTTGCTTGATGTTCGGGTCCTACTTGCTTTCGTGATGGACATCGCAAGCTTCATGCTTTTTGGATGGTGAAACGATTTGTTACTGCAAGATGGAACAGTCTTTCATTGGAAATCATGAGAATGCAAACTTGCAGCCGAGAACCATATTTAGCCATTATGATTATGACCTTCCAAGGAAAAAGGCTTTGCTTAAGCTCTGACTGACTGCAAACGCTGTTCGCGCAAGCGTTTGCCATGAGCGTTTTCCTCGTAAGTCAGAACTTGAGGCGAGTAAGAACTGCGCAACGACTGGTGCACAAAATGATACGACTTAAGCTTGGTTTGGCTTAGGGTGATTTTGGTTTTCTCTGATGATTGGCAAATCAGGGCACATCCAAGGCAAATCCTTTTCTGGGCCAGGAAACACGTGTTTTTCTTCCCTGTTCTTGCACAGCCAATCGAAGCAAGAGTTCAATTTGTTTAACACAGCTCAACTGAGCCCTGAACCACCCATATTCAATTTATAGAGAAGGTCATGTGCTTCAGGCCAGCCCCATCAACATCACTATTGTTATTTAGATTCAAGTTTGCTTGGCACTCCTGAATGGGAGGGAGAGAAAACTCTGACTTCTTCAGCAAACACACAGATTCCATGACCTCCAAATGACCTGCAAGTGACCTAACGATGAGGCCAAGACCCCAAGACCTTGCACGACTCCTCTCCTGAGGCCTCTCCTGAGGGCCGCATTTCCGATTTGCACGACGCGCTCAAGGGTGCCAAATCCGCAGGCCCCGTCGCGTCGGGCCGCGGCCGGGCGCAAGGTGTGGTTTTCTGCGGAGCAGCTGGAGCACCTGACCTTGAATGTAGGCCGAGTGAGACCCGTGAAGTACTGAGGCGATGATTGACATGGTGCTAATCTCACTCTGAAGGCCACCCCGAAGGCCCTGAGCACTTGATATGTTTTCACCTCAAGAGTTCGGGTTCGAGTTTCCAGTGGCGGTTTACCCAGGGTTTTCCCAAGCAGACAGTGATTTCAGCCGTTCCAAGGACGCCCGAGGTGAATCAAATGACTGGGTGTCTGAACATTCAGTGGGGAATCTTGCCATTCAGTGGTTGAAGGGCTATTTCTGTGGCATTCTCACTTTGGCACGCCCAGATGGTCACTTGTTTTGTGCGGCATGGCCTAAACAACTATGGCTCCCGTCCAAGCTGGATATAGGACCCCACCCCTGACTCCTCGCCCTCCATGGCTTTCAGCCATGCAAGCACTTCTCCATCCCAGTTTTGCGCAGTTTCACCTGGCAGGGCTCACTGAGGAGGAGATGCAGGGGGCTCAAGTGGTCCTGGACCAGCTCGTCATGCAGGCAGCCCAACGCAGCCCACGCAGCTGACGCGGCCACAGTTGCTACCGAACGTGGTGCATTGCAGACAAGTGGTGTGAGGAAGCTCACTGAATGTTGTTTCGCGTGGTTTACCCGACAAAGAAGGAAACCAAGCTCAGATCATATGAATGGAAAGTTTGGGCATGAGCTTCTTCTTGAGGAGACCATCATATATATATATATATTATATGATCAATAAACTGAGTGCTACGGGATTTATGGGTATCTCAATAATCAATCCAGAGGCCAAGAGAGACTTGACTCGAGGCGATGAGTCGAAGATAGTTGAATGATCACCTCCAACAGCCCCAGTAACCATTTGCTTACCCGTTGAGGGATCGCTTCCCAATGCATCCAATGCTCAAACATTATTTGCTTTTCTACAACCACCCCCCATAAACCAGCAGCTCTCAAAAGCACCGTGAATCACATAATCTCCAAATCCATCTAAATTGTATTACATATATTGATTTGGTTGTTGTTCAGACTCTAAGATGCCTCTTTTTGTCGTTCGAGCCTGCTCTCGCCACCTTCGCCACTCACCGGGTCGGCAGGTCGCGGCGCGGCGAGCGCTGCAGGAGGCAGTCGAGCTGGCCACGATCGATGCCTTGAAGCCGCGGTCGCAGGGGCAGAGCGGTGGGGGAGAGGAGGAGAGGTGAGGAGAGAGAGGCAGAGCTTAAAGTTGCTGAAGGAGTTGCTGAAGTGGCTTGAAGTTGTTGCTGAAGTTGAGAGAGCTGGCGGTGTGCTTGGGGAGAGAGCCCAACTTGAAGTTGCTGTAAATCTGCCAGGGGAGACCGTTTTCTGCTTTGTTTCAGATGTCCTTTTTTCTGTTTGAGGTTTGGGATTTGGAAGGGGGGTGGCTGTAGAGTTGGCAGTTGGCTTGGCTTTGGGGGTGGGATAGAGGATTCAAGATGTTGGAAGATGGTGCAGAAATGATCAGAAGGTAAGAGTTAGAGTGTAATTTTTACGCTTGTGCTGTTACTGCTACTGATTACAGATATCTACTGATACACGTTTGGTTCCACTCCTTTGGATTTGGAGAGATCTTAATTGAGGTGATTGATCAGAACATCGGGGCGCCCCAACTTCTAAAGCTGAACCTGACTTGGAAGACCCACATGCACACTTCGGGAGTCCGAACGATGGCCTTTGGCCCCTTTTGAACGATCTTGGCTTCGTGGCTTCGTGGCTTTGCAGGGACTTTGGAGGGACCGACCTCTCCGTGTTTCAAGAACGAAGTCCAGGATCCTTTTTTCTTGGAGAGAAGGGGAGACATGGTGGGCGCGCACTAAAAATAGCACCGAGGTTTCTTGCAGAATGCCTGGATTGAAGCTTCCAAGTTAGACACTATAGATGGGAACTTTGAACGCACACCTCTATCCGCAGTGGCGGCCGTGGCGGCCGTCCCCAAGGGCGGTCGGACATCGACCGTCCACGGCCATCGATCCAAGGCCAGCCATCGAAGATGCCCGAGCAGCAGGTCGCTGATCGTCGGTGATCGTCGGGTGGAGAGGGGTTGCGCGGGTCGGTGAAAAGGATCGTCGCGTTTGCCGTTTGGTTTTGTTTGAGGTCTTGGAATCATCCAGATGACCAGACGATGGTGAGACCAACGGATGGGGCAAGACCTAGACTACACCCTCTGAATGTGGGAGAAACATGTTCTGTGTGTTGGTAATTTACTTACTGTCTTGTGTGACTCTTTTTTGTTTATGTTTATGTGTTTAAATGATGCGATGTTGGACTTTGTGCTGTCCAGACCG